CCGGTTCAATGGGGGCGATCTTGAGCCGGTATGCATACTCACTTGTGGTATTTCTTTTTTCTTTTTTTCTTTTTTTTTCTGTACGTTTGCGCGTTGCAACGAAATAAAATTTGTCTCGTTGTGCGATGAAAATTTTGGAGCTAAACATAGCAAATTTAACCAGACTTGCCGAATCGATCAAATCCGAAGAACAAAACATGGAAAGTACTGAAAGATAGAGGTAGTCATAGTCCATGAACTTCAAAAAAGACTTCTGTCATTCGAAGTGAACGGTGTTATTGGGGGAGGCCCCCGGAAGCTCCCGCCAAACCTCGCCCGAATTAGCGTACTTTTGGGGGCGATTTTGGCGTTTTCCCTGTCCAGATTTAGGCAAAATTAGCGTACTTTAGCCTCAGATTTCCGAGGCCTTGTCCGGTCATAGCGTACTTTGGTTGGAGAATCCTGGTTGAAGATGTAAATTTTTTTTGAACCATTAGCTATAGCGTAGGATTCCATTAGCCTACATCTTGTCTGTTCATTGATTGGCAATGACAATGATATTTCCAGCTGACGAGCTTCAAATAATCGAAAAAGCCTCACTCGCAGGTGATGTCAGTCGAAATAAGATGCAGCTGAATGAACAGTGTGCAAAAAGATGGTGCATGTTTTCAAAGAGAGAGATCAAAGCAGCACTGCCGCCTCACAAAATCACAGTCCCAGCAAGAAAATAGATCATCCTACATCGTCGCCTTGTGCTAGAATACCTCAAAGAATTTTTTTTGCAATTTTTTTTTTTTTTTTTTTTTTTTTTTTTTTTTTTTTTGCGATTTTTTTGAGCCCACGTGATCATCCCTGTCCGAATAAGCGTATAAGCTAAGTAGCTATCGTCGAGAGATATAATCTTATTATTATTCATATATCTAATCAGTGTGGGAAAGGTTTTGGCTGGGGCTTGGCCCCGCGTGGGTGGGTCTAACTAAATATTTAAATGCGGTTTTCAACACGCGGGAAACCAATCCGGAACGTCCAAGGACGCTAAATAAGTCTGAATAGGATATGAGTAATAATGGTTGATGTTGTCGTAATTATTTATATAGAGGAGAGGGAGGGCGGGTTTGACGATTTTTTATCAACGAAGAAAATCAGACGCGATGAGAGTCTGGTTCAAGTTATGTGATGGCGCTTAACGGCGCCAATTCGACTCTCACGCGTTTAGCTTATCCTCTGATAAACCACCTTTGGGGGTTTATCTCGGAACTTTAGGCCCAAAACGTAGCGTACTTTGGACCCCTTTGGGCGGGCGGGGTTCCATAGGAGCTTCCGGGGGCCTATTGGGGGAATGTGCGATAATAAAGTCACGCGTTTTCTTTGCTTCTCCGTGGATAGGGGCACGCGACTCAAGTTGTGGAGCCATCACATCTTCACGCGCTGTAGTAGGTTGCTGACAGTGACTGGGCTATCATATTCTTTCTTTCTTTCTTTCTTGTTTCTGCCTTTATCTTCAAGAGTAGATACACTCCTGTCCTCTTTCTCAATTTCTACCATGGCCATCCTCAACATTCCTCCAAGCGTAGACGAAATCGTCAACAGGCAGCTCTTTCTCGGCAAGTAAGGCCATATTCAATTTTCACTTTCTCTATCTGACCACGGCAAACACAGTTTATCCGCTGCTATGTCTTCCGAATTGCGAAAGCAACTTGGAATAACACATATTCTCTCCGTCTGTCCTGAATTTCCTTCGACGGGCCCGAACCACTTGATGATTGCTGTAGACGACTCCGAATACGACGATCTTCTCATTCGCCTTCCCGAAGCCTGTCAGTTCATCCAGAAAGCTCTTAGCGAAGGAGGTCGGGTCTTGGTTCATTGTGTAATGGGTGTGTCCAGGAGTGCTACTGTTCTTTGTGCATTTCGTGCGTCAATATCACGTTCTCAAATTTCCTGCGCCACCTTTCTCACTGGATCGATTCAGTAATGCAATCTCGGAAATTTAGCCCGTCTCAGGCCCTGGAGTTCATTCGTTCTCGTGAGGCATCTATCTTATCGTTGCAGAAGCTGTTGTTCATTGTCATTGACCAGGCCGACCTTGTGTTCAACCTAATTATGGATTTCTCAAGCAACTTCACGCTTTCGCTCAGTGCGGCTACCATCCGTCAGCTGAACACCCGGCATACATTTCATGGAAGCGTCGACAAGAACAAGACGTCACTGTCTTTTTGAACCAGATGATTGACACTATTCCTGTTATCCGACAACAACTGTACCTCAGCAGGCACGTACTTGTATCCTTCTATCCCCACGAATCGAGCCTACCTCTAACTGGCACCATCTCCATTCAGTGAACTTCCAGATGATGTGGAACAGGTCCAGTCCCTTCTGTTCGAATTTGGTATCACTCATTTGCTCTCGATTTCTCCCTCGGCAACCGTTCCGAGTCTCTCAACTCTTGTTAGACACCACCATATCCCCGACTCACAGCAGGAGCGTGATACGATTCTGCTTGTTTTGCCAGAGATGTGCAATTTCATCAGACAGGCGATATCTGATGGAGGTGTAGTACTCGTTTACTCGGAGATGGAATCAAAGGCCGTTCTTGCTTCATATGGATACCGTAAGCTTTGTGCTGTCTCCATTATCACTGGATACTGAAGATTACTTTCTAGTAATGAGCTCCCGTGAACTTACACCCAAGCAGGTGTATCAGCAGCTGACCGAAGGTAAATGTTATTACCATTATATTGTCAAAGTTTATCTTCACTCCTCACTCTTCCTAGCACTTCCTCTCTTCAACCGCTCCTCTAATTTTACCCGACAATTGGAACTGTTTGACGCATGTTCATTCGCTCCGACATCTGACCATCCGCTGATTGAGGAATGGCTAAACTCTGGTGCATCATCGGGATGGAATAGTAGGCGAGGATCGTCAAACTCGGCAGAGGTTGCGGCCGCACTCAGCGCGACTGCACTCAGTATCCTGAGTGACACAGGTCTCGATGGCAAGGCTTTCGGTGACACGCTTCACAGATTGCAGAGCAGTCCAAGAATGTCTAAATCTCCTGCTCAACTTCAGGCCATTGAGGTACAAAGCTAGTACGCAAGTCTAAGGCGTTATTAGCTTGTTTCTTGTTTCTTGTTTCTGATTTGTTTTTTTCATACCCTGTACATATACGCTGGAAGTATTTCGTGTAATTCTCCACTCACTCATTGTGCTTATATCCATGAATCTACATGTCTGAAGACGAGCATTATTTATAAACCGTATTTGAAGTAAAGTATTACTGTGAGTATAGTGCGATAACAATGACCTGTATTTGATTTGCATTGTAGCGAACTCTATGAACGGACATTGACAACATCCTGAATCATCAACACACCATGTCCTGACACAGTATTCTTCCAGATTCCTAAAAACTCTGGATGCTTGTCTATCTCAAGCAAGACCATGGGCACAGTATTTCGAGAGGCGTATGCCAGATAACAGACAAGGACGGAGACTATATCGGTGCAATGATCTCGAGGAGCTGTTATAAGGATCTGCGCCCCTTGGCGCCGTCGTAAATCATATCCAGTTGCGCACATAAACTCTCTCGAGGCGAGAAGTTGTCTGGGCGTTAACAATGGGATACCCTCGTATGGCTCGCTGATGTCCCCGTACTCAGTGTAGAGTCTTCGGGCTACTTCGGGAGACAGTCCGTCGCAGTCGGTCTCGGAAGCAAGGATGCGCATGCGCAGTTCGAACAGATTATGAGAGTTCGAAAAAACATCCAGGTTCAACACCTGCGTCTTGTGAGAGTCAACGGTGTACGTTATATCAGGAGACCCGGACGGGTTTTTTGATGTAGTAAGTTTGATTATATGAGTAAACGTCTGGCCGTCAGGCGTTCTTAGCTCTTCTTCCGCAGGAAGACGTGAGTTCATCGAGGTGCCAAATGAGATATTGTCATCCTCGAATGCCATGAAAAGTCCTGGCATGACATATTGTAAACACCTGGATTCGTTTTTCTGCGGCCGTTGCTGACGTTGGCGGAAGTAGGAAGTTGGATGGGACGGAGGTGAGGGTAAATTAGGGGGCGTACTCTTCCCGTAAGGAAGATGTTCTCGAAGGCGGTACAGATTTCCCAGAGAAGAGAATTTGGGTGACTGGAGCATGGAAACATTGGATGGTTTCAACATTGTAATCGTTGGTTTCCGTCTCCTCGAGGTCTTCGTCCCAGAGGAAGCCGTGGAATGATTTATGGAAGGAGAAATAGACGACGATGTAGTGGAGGTAGGGCTGAACCGATTAGGCGACGAGGATGGGGAGGAACAGTCCATTCTTTGAAAAGAGCTGAAGTGAAGCGTGACATTTATAGCGCCCATTCCGCACAAGAGTACCCTGGTGTACTTGATCGATGATCAGGATGTCGAACGGGGTAGGAGAACGGATACTCCTTTCTTCGCCGAAGGCACAACAATTTGGAGAATTTCAATCTCAAAGAGTCCGAATCAAGCCTACTAGGACACCAGAAAAAAGACAAAGATTGATTGAATTAGAGGGTTGGATTATCTCGAACTTTCTCTCAACGGTTTATACAGACCGGAAAACGACACAGCATAGCGGTCAACAACTTCCTTATTTTGCATGGTCCTTCATCCATCGGTCGACTACGTTGGGTAAAGGACAGGCTGATGATTCGGATTGTGGGTTGGCCTTGTACATCTGTTGACAACATTCATACAGTTGTCGTAGAATGTTATCGCATTTTTCTGGATGATAGGTATTTCTTCCTAGACAATCCTGAAGATCACAGGCTATGTGATAGTTGAGGTTCAAAGTTCGGGCTGCGCTAAAACGATACTGACCTTGAGCCTGACACGGTGGTGACTCCTACACTACAGGTGAGCATTTAGAGGCCAAATCCGTTGGGAAACTTTACCTTTGACATGGTAGATGAGAACAAGGAACAGTAAATAGAAACACCAAAGCGCAAATTCAACAGAAGGACGCACAATACTTATACTAGCTGCGAGAGAGAGATATGGTCACTTTGCCGGAGTGGTTAACGGGATCGCCTGCTATCAATTATGAAGGCAAACAAGCGGTTGGGCTTTGCCCGCGTGTGTTCGAATCGCACAGGTGACGATATGTTTTGTTTTCCTTTTTTTTTCTTTTTTGTAATATACAGTACATAATGCCGAGGCAGATTACTGTGTTAGGGAAATGCGATGCACCAGGATATGCAACTTTCAAAAAAAAAGCTTATTTGAGATGCATCCCATTGCGTTATCACCTCCATTTTTTTGTAGTCTCTTAAGACTCTATTTTTCATCTCCATCTATTACATATGAAGGATTTTATAGATAGAGCATGAAAGAGTGAACATTGACAATGATACACATAGTACTTGCATCAAAACCTCAGGAACATAGCAAAGATATACCGTGAGGGACTCCAAGTTTTACAGACATATGAAGTACATTTTTAGGAGTTTATATCAAAGATTTTATTTGAAATCAGTGCAGATTACATTAAGCAATGGCCAAAATAATCTATGACTGAGGTCAAGCGTGGCAAGCTTCAGGCGGATGAACTTGCCATTTGTGCCGTGCAATGGCCAAAGCTAGTCACTGCTGTCAACCCAGGAAGGGCGCCCGCACTATTGATGCTACTACTGAGAAGTGTCTCGAAGATGCTCAATCGGGCTGGCTCAATACCACTCTGTACCGTCGGGACTTCCTGTGAATAAACATACCTTGACTAAAAATACATGCAATCATGGAAGCAAAGGGGAGAAAGGTGACAGAAAGGACCAGCAACATGGATTCAGAAATTTCTGATGGAGAATGGCGATAAACTCAAGTTGGTGAGAGGATCTGGTTTGGATCCTAAACGAGCTCAGGCCTTCAATTGCGCTACTGTCAACCGACATTTCGTTTTCTTTGCCAACATCTCAGAATTCTACGACCACTTAGATGTGAGTACACTCCTTTACATTTACATTGATACCTGGTTACTGACTCTCTTTGGTATAATATTCATTCTGTCCCTACTAGGTATCTTAGTCTTCTTCCACCACTAAGATTACGATATTCATTGTCTCTTCTTACTAGTCGTCCCTCATCAAGCCTCATCCTCGGTCCAATGTGCAAACACTTCTCTGAAGCAAATTCTATCTGAGACTACGTAGCCTTCTTCGCCTCTTTCCTAGCCGCAACCTTATCCCGGTCTCTCTTCTGGAACAGTTTATGTCTATTCATAGAACTTGCAGCCGATTTCGCCAATGTCTTGTTCATTGACTTGTTCTGCTCAATATACGACATATGCTGTGCCCCACTCAGAGACGTCAATGAGCTCGTCATCCTCTGGGCCGCAGGGAACCTCGACGGCTGGCCAAAGTCTTTCGACGTAATCGTCCCTGCCAGATCACCCTCGGATGCTCGAACATCCGAACCAGGTTCTGCGTCAGCCTCGTTGGCGATCAGTACCGACTGTAAAAGCTCGATTTGTTCCTCCCGAGTTCGATAGACGAGACCAGGAAAATCTTTTTGACCGTCGAGGCTGGTGATCACTTTGAATGCGTATCCTTGGTCAATTAGGAATTGTTGGCGTTTGGTGGAGTAGAACATTTCTTGAGTGTCTTTGGATACGAGGGAGTAAAAGAAGGCATTAAAACCTTCGTCATTCCGACGTTTGGCTCGAAGGATACGGCCTAAACGTTGCGCTTCTTGTCGTCGGGAGCCAAAATGCGACGATATTTGAATTAGGCATGTTGCTTCTGGTAAGTCGATAGAGGTATCTCCAACCTGGTAAAATCTCCATTGAGTCCCTAGCTAACGGCACATGAACACATACCTTCGACAAAAAGATGGTGCTGACAGCCGGGTCGTGCTGGAAGTGTTGCAAGACTCGCATACGTTCTGTCTGTCCTGTACCTCCGTGGATGTAAGGTTTACCAAGTTTTTTGGCGTAGGCCTCCACAAGACCATGAATGCATTTTCATTACTATCGGTAAACTAACGCACCTCCAACGCAAATACGTTGTCCGAAAAGACAATTATCTTATCTCCTCGTTCTTCATGGTAGTTGATTAGATATTGACATGCCTGAAACTTGTTGGGATTCATGCAGTATAGCAATGCACGTTTCCGAGACTGTTCACGCAGGTATTCATGGTAGAATTCGGGTGTCATACTACACCAAACTTCAGCGCACTACCAGATTGTAAATTGTCTGGAAAAGATTGAGCGTGCATTTTGATTCGTGCTTACCTGAACATTCGCAATATGTCCTTTGGCAGCAAGGTCCCTGATAAGTAGAGTGAGAGTGAATCAAAGGAACAAAAGGAATTTATATTACATCCAATTTGCTTCATATAACTTTGGCCCAATCATGTAGTTCAAATCTGCAATCTTGTCGTCTTCACGAACTAACGTGGCTGGAAGGGAATGCTCCCGTCAGATCCTACTCTGAAGGACAACAAAGCTCGCTTGATGTTAACTCACCCGTAAGCCCAAGCTTGGAATGTGCCTTGATAGTAGTTACCACTCGACGGAACATCGCCGCAGGGACGACGTGGACTTCATCTAACAGTAAGAACCCCCACTCTCTCGAAGTCAAAAACTCCATCATCTTCTTTGACTCGTGCGATCGATTGTGAGTGTTGGCCACCATCGAGTAGGTGGAGACGACAATGCCACTTTCGCCAGCAAACTTCTCTTTTTGGTCCGCGGTGAAGACAGCAATTTGTCTGTCGGTGATGTTGGACCATTGGAGAAATTGGGCTCTCCATTGGTACACTGAGACACTGATGAAGGAGTTTCATTATGGGTAGGCAAGGATTGAAAATGAGAGTCTTACGACGATGTACAAAGGACTAGACATGATTTTTTAATTGTGCATGCGGCAGTGATTCCGACGAGGGTCTTTCCAGCACCACATGGAAGAACAATGATTCCGGAACGAGCACGACTGAGAACCGTGAACATACTGGATAGCATAAAAGGTAATGACATACCCATTTCCAAACATTTTGCTCAGACTAGTCTCTTGATAAGGTCGAATCACAGTGGCAGGTTTCAGGTCGATATCTAGATTAGCATTGACAGTATCATTTCGAAAGTCATACTCCTCTAGCATGGGACTATTAAGCTCGTTACATCTCTTCTTGACATCCTGTAAATTTTGTGAACAACAGGCGTTCTGTTTTGGAATGGACAGACGTACGTCTATCTTGGCGTCATTGATCTCAAACGAATGGACGTTCTCGTCGTCTTCGTCTATCTCATCTGGAAGATTTTATGGAAATCATGGTGAGTAAATAACAGAAATAACGTACCTCCTTCAACACCAACAACTGACGTGAAGAGATCCGCATCATTGCTTTTCCCTTTATTCGCACCATCGTTATTCTTGTCACCCTCCTTGCTTGTCCCCGGGATGACCAGGTTGCCTTTGACTGGGACCTTGGACGTTGTAAATGTATTTCCTTTGATGCTGTTGTCGGTCTGGACTGACATCACACGCGCATCCTGAATTGCTCCATCTCGCAGCAGCTTTTGCAGAATGTCAGGATGACTAGACTCAACAAAGTACTTATTGTGTTTTAGAACAAGCTTGACTTTGCCGTAGGTCTCAGTGCATTTTCGTATATGTGATATGATGGGCTCCGGGACAGGGACCTTGCCATACAGTTTGAACAAGACTCGGATACGATTTCGCAATCGTCACATACCTTGGACAGACGGTTAAGGACCTTAGTGACATATGTTAGCATATGAGTAAGCAGAGTGCCAAAGCACACGGACTTCAATTATATCTTCCGTTTGGAGCCCAACAGACACAGCGGCATACAAGGAGTAAGAGGTAAGCTTATATTCGTGAATGAAGGCTGGTCTGCGATATAGGGGATATATATCTAGAGCAAAAACAGCAAGATTGGAATAATACGCACCTGCTGACAGGTTCGCTAATTGCTGTCAGAAAGTCTTGTGCTTGTTCAGCAATGGGAGAGAAGGCTTCGAGGATGATGAGACCGTCGTCTGGACTGATCCAGAGCGGACGGGAGGCATGGTCGGGTTTGAGGTGCATGAAGGAAAAATCTTGATCCATGAATATGTGTGAGACGAGATTGCTTTGCTGTAGCCGATGAATCTCCAAAGGCGACTTGTCCGTTGTTGCTAAGTCTTCTGCACGTTTGGCCTCTGCAAGTTTGCGAGTAAGTGCGCTAAAATTGATCGTAGCATTTCGAGGAACGAGGGAATTTTCGTCGGGTGGTGAAGGAGGGATTACATCGTCTTCGTCTTGGATTTCCAGGTAGTCATCTGGGTCAGCGGCCCTCTTCGTCCGTTTTGAGGGTTGGTAACGAGCGGTCCCTAAGCAGAGTGAGTTATATGGTTCAATTAGCATGTTTGCGCAATATACCTTCAGCAGGTCGTTTGTACGACATGGTGAGAAAGAAGAGGTTCTTAGCTTGGGCGCTTGCTTTTGAGCAGCGATTACTCACGTGAAATATGGGTCACACTCGTCACCGTGACTGACAAACGCAGGTTTGTTGTTCGCCAACTGCCAGGTTACTGCTTCGGTGAAGTGACTCTCTCCGGCTTCCAGATGATTCCAATGTCCAACACGAGCAGCTATGAGCGCTTTAGACAGGATCAAGCTCAAAGGCGTTCTGTGGCTCGCTCAAATTCATCTCTGCTGGGAAGCCTCAAAAATTTTGTCGCCGCACCATTCGCCAGACTATTTACCGGGACGACTGGCGACTTCGATGACCCCAATGATCTATCTGGGAAGCGAAGGTTAGCTATCAATAACAACATTGAAAACAACGATATTGTTGAGGACGGTCCCGCTCCCGCTAAACGTATGCGAGTCAAAAGTCCGGAGCGGCCTTCTCCCCAACGATCTACTGGTTACCTAGACCCTCCTGGCTCTGCTTTTCATCTCGATAATCGGAATAACTTATTCAATCAACCTCCCAGTCGTTCGGTATCGATATCTCTACCATCCACTACTTTACCAGATTCTTCCATCCATAATGCTCGCTCAACTATTTCTCCTCTGCGAAACACCTTTTCCCGAAACATGTCTATAGATTCTATCCCTCTAAATCAGCCTCGGCCCCTCTCTCGCGATATATCTAT